TATGTGTGAGCTTCAAAAGAGCCATCATTGCAGACATTGAATAAGGGGCTGTTTAAGATTGCGTGATTCTTCTCTTCCTTTTCAAGCTGAAAATTGTTAATGATATAATTCGTGGCATTTCTTTGCAGTATGCGAGACGATGAAAATAAAACCACTGCAAATGTGATAGTTTCTCATCTGTACACCACTTTGCATAGAATATTCTGAATGAACCTCTACAAGTTTTAAACAATAATATAAATCAGTATCTATGGTAACTGTTCTGAAACTTTGTTCCAAAGGCAGGCCTTTAAAATATAACAAATTTCATGACTTTTGCCATTATGCTATTTAGATCTAAAGTATATACCGCACTATATAGTTTGATGTGCCAGACAAATATGTTTATAACGATTAAACGTATCAAGGTATAGATTGAAGTTAAGCAATCAGTGACCGTGAAGTCTTCATTATGTGCTTTAATCTTATTAGGTAAATATATTCCTTCAGTCATATATGACCATGCGCAGAACCTTAAATTAGTAAACTAATAGGTTTATTTTAATGGTGTTTTGTGTGTGAACATTTACAGAATTCATAATACATAGTAAAAACAAAAAGTTCACGAAGTCTTGTCCCATACTTCACCTATGAACGAACTTTCATGTCTCAGTGGTTGACACTTGATTACTACTCACAATTTTCAGTACATAGCTATTTATGGTCTTTCCAAATACGGACGATTTCATTTCAGTATCTGAAATAACAGAGAGAGTGGTTGTAGTGACACACTGTTAGGTTGAATGTATTAAATATTTTCGAACTTACGCGTTTTATATTCTTCGCTTGTTTCATCCAAAGGGTATTTACGTCCATCGTAGCAATAAAACATGATTGCAAAAGCATTGTTTACATAATTACATGGCTAGTCATTTAATTGCACCAAAGATCTTCATTTTTATTAAATAACTAACTTTGACAAGGCATATATTGCATTTAAATCTCTACATGGAACTACAACAGAGTATACTAATGTAATCTAATGTCTTATCCTTACAATTCAGGTAAATTAAAAGTCTATTGTTTTACTAAAAGAAAGGAAACATGTTTTAAAGTAGAAATGGGTGGGATTGCAAACTAGCTATGTTGCAGCAGGCGATTTTAATAGAGAACTGATTCTATTATTATATTAGTTTTAAATAAATGGTGATGTATTTCGTGTTTGGTTTTATTGTTTTGGTTCAAGATATCAAACAATTGTGAAATGACGCAGCTCGTACTCAGCGAGAAAGGACAAGGCTGAAACTTGCGTTTGAAGGCGTATAAACATGGAATTCGTAATGGATGTCCCTGACTAAAAGTAGAGGTCGACAACGTGGAAAACAGTTACGATACCCTTTTAGAAAGGTAAACGAAGGTGGAAGTGACCTGTTGATGCCGATGGGAAGAAACAGTTTCAATACATAGTAATGTGTTTGGTTAGATAATCTTTTTTATTCAATAATATGTTCCTGGGAATCATGTCATGTCAAATCATACATCTCGCTTGTTTAATTTCTTCCACACCTATGTCTCTGTCCATGGTACTCTTGCTTGGAATAGTATAGTACTACTTTCCAGTACAATATAACGTCCTCATATAAATTTATTTGGAGTCTTGCAAACAATCAAGTTCAACAACAAACTAAGTAAAAATTCCTGCAAATTGCACAAGTCTGAAAAGTTAGAACATTATATGCACATTTTTGGACAAATGAGAGAATATTCTATTTTCATTTGATTATGTTCAGGCTCTCCAAGACAATTATAATACGAGTTGATACATTGGTCTGTCCCCAGGTATATCATTTTATTATCGTTCAGATAACATTGTTCTCTTTACCCATATTAACACTTACAGTTACATACATACATACATACATACATACATACATACATACATACATACATACATACATACATACATACATACATACATACATACATACATACATACATACATACATACATACATACATACATACATACATACATACATACATACATACATACATACATACATACATACATACATACATACATACATACATACATTATATATATATATATATATATAGACTACAGGGACTTAACTTGAGTAAAATGTTGTACATCATTTCCTGCCGTTAGTGTTAGTGATGGTGGGTAAAAGTCTATAAAAGTGGTAGGGTATAATTTGTTGGTCAATTCTGGACCGTACATCTAGAAGACAGTCTTTTTAGGACGAGAAAGAATTAGGAAAACGCTGCGTTTCTTTCTTGGATTCACTTCTTTGTGGATTAGATCATGAAATAAAGGACACATACACATATAATCTCAACATTGCAACCAAACAAAACATATGACTGACTACACTCCAACACTCAACTATGCAACCAACAAAACTTATGGCTGGCTATACTCCAACACTCAACTATGTAACCAAACAAAACTTATGGCTGGCTATACTCCAACACTCAACTATGTAACCAAACAAAACTTATGGCTGGCTATACTCCAATACTCAACTATGTAACCAAACAAAACTTATGGCTGGCTATACTCCAATACTCAACTATGTAACCAAACAAAACTTATGGCTGGCTATACTCCAATACTCAACTATGTAACCAAACAAAACTTATGGCGGGTTTTGCGACCAACTCTACCGTTAACAAGTAGCATGTTATTCCTGAATACAATTGATCTAATATTATCCTTCAGTTTGGTTACGCATACCAACGTGATATTCTCACTTCCGACAGAAGGATTTAATGTTTGCTTGCAAACTTCATTTAGAACATCAAAATATTTGCTCTTTATCAACTGTTATTATCTAAGAATGAGTTGTTGAGAGAATATGTTGATTTGTTGATAAAATGGACGTAATTATAATTATGAAGATTACATGAGCATGGTTGGGTATTACCCGATGTTTAAATCGTGCCTAATATTTTACAATATTAATCTAAATATCTTCGGAATTTAAATACGATGTGAGTAATAAGGCAAAATTTACACATCGATCAATATATTTACATGATTATGTAATCCTATAGAAAATAGTAACGGCTTTAAATATATGTACGATTTCCAATCACAAGAATGAGATCACCAATTGCATGAATTAAGGTTATGTATTGTAATTTTTTTACAAATAAAAGAGAATTAAAACATATTATAGGAAATATACAAAATGATTAACGAAAGGGCAAATGTGTTATAATCGACGGGTGTGTATATATTGATTCCTTCACATTCATTTCTTTAATAAAAATCCATTACCGCCGACTGGATCAAACAGTTGTAATAGTAATATTATGTTTTATTCAAAAGACACTTTCGTTCAAGAGACCATCTTATATTAATATCACGAAGATATTTATTTCAAAATATACGTGTCGCCGTATCTCGTTTTCCCTCTATCTCTTTGACTCTGCCGCCGTCTGTTTCTTTTAAACGCACTAGGTTAATGATGAGTTCTGTATTTAATTGATTTTTATAACAACTGAAAAACAGGTTACAGTGATATGAGCTCAACATGATTTCATGCAAAACAGAATAAGTAGGTTTAAAAATAAAAATAACCTGAGCATCGTTTCCATTATGTCCGCGTAAACAAGCATTCCGATCTACGTAACTACACGAAGACAGCCAACTTAAACTTTATTCTTTTGCATACTAATCAAGCTTTCCATGCTTTCATCAGACCAACCGGTACAAACAAAATTGAAATACATGCTTCCTGTAAAGTTTTAAACACTGATAGAGTGAGAGACAGACAAATGAGACAATAATATTGGACTGGTATTAAATTTGAACTTATTTATATTCTGCCAGTTTTATACTCTGATATCTCTCCAAGGCACGTATTTCAGCACTTTATAATTACTGAACTGCCTGCAATTGAATTTAACTGAGGAGCATATATTTCACACGATATACTATCAAATTTTCCATTGTATAATATAGGTCATTAAAAGAGTCTATTTCTATCAAGTTTAGTTAGTTGATTTTATTTTATTTCAAATTTGTAATATCAATATAGTGTTAAATATTTAGCTGCCAGATAACTTCAAGGACAAAGGTTCACTGCTGTCTTTGTTTATGGAAGAAATTAAATTGGTTTGAGTTTACAGTGTCGCTTGTTGATTTTCCACATTACTGACTCCTTCAAGCGTTTTCGTTTTAGGATTTGGCTTATTTTGCAACTTCGGAATTTGGTCAGTATTATCGTCCTCTATTTTGATGCAAGTTATCAGAGAAATGTTGTTAACCAATTATTACAAAAAGCTCTTTGTTAACGTATCCATAAATACTCCAGTCAAGAGGTAGAATCATCGTGTCTTTGCATATTGTTTTCGACAAGGTACGAACGAAGGACGAGAACAGGGCAATCACATCTTTGGAAGTGAGAATTTGGAAAAATAGGTGAGTATGAAAACCTTGTCACGTTTCATGAACTCTAACTTTGTTCTTTTGTCTTTAGTATAAGCAAGATGTGTAAAAATGCAACAAAACTGCACAGGACTATTTTGTGAACTGTAACGACCATTCCTAACTTCTTCGTTATAATATCATTACAGATGGTTCTTTACTGAATCATTTTTTCCCGAGTTCACATCCCGTCACTTCCGTTTCCATGTTAAGGCGATTGAGAGTTTGTTGTTGGGTATTAATATCCATTATTTCCAAATGTTACGATAGTTGATAGTTGGAGTTGTTGCGGTGATATTTCAAGTTTTCATATTCGTGTCCAAACACTACTGATGTGTCACGTGTCATAAACTTTCATTTTAAAGAATTATAATTTCCAACAACTTTCGTACAAACTTATATGTTTTGGTCCAACCTTGCTTTTAGAGAAAAGGTATGTTCAAATTTACGTTGTCTGATTTGCAAAAGGAAATGGAAGATATCTCTATTACTGTCGCAACTAGATTTCGACTAATCTGTTGTTGTCTCTAAATACGTTTCTTGCAGATAGTTTACAAAAGCATGCAGACCGCTCCGATAGCCTAGTTGTTGGAGCTACCGTCTCAGATGCGGGAGGTTCCGGGTTCTAACCCCGCTCGAGTCATTCAAAAAGTTTAATTTGTTTCTAATAACTGCCTCATTTTCGGTAATTTTAGTAATTTGTTTGTGAAAAGTAAATAAATATGTAGAAAAATATATGCTGACATCCTTCCGTTTCTATAGTCGCTAGTTTACCAAGTATTTAATAAAGACGCTTAGAAAGATGTGCTGAAGTTTGTTGTTTACGCAGTAAAATGTATTCCATTAAAAGTGCTAATAATAAGAAAATAAAACGTTAAAGGGAGTTAACAGTTTAGGACAGTATTTATCTGTTTGAGTTTTACGGATTAATTTAAGATTGCCACTTTCCTCTCGTTAGCTCTTTATACTGAAAGAGAACATTATTTTCTTCTTTGTTGTAATATATGACATGAATGCCCGTACTATTGAGCTAATACCTTTTTGGTGACTTTTAATCATATAATACGAAAGCAAGTTAAGCCAAAATACCATATGCCAGTGAAATAGCTAAGTATTTTATACATCAAACGTTGATTTACCGCGATCAATTAATGTCCGTCGGAATCACATAATCAAACGTCAAGCAGGAGATTGCTATGACTTTACAATACTAATAAAAGGTATGTTTAAACGAACTGAACATTGAGTAATTTTATTGTTCCCTCATGTTTTCATGATGTTTACTTTTGCCAAGATTGAATAGAGTTGCAAAGGTTTCAGTCATTCAAATTTTGAAGACATTATCTCATTTTAGGAATATTGACAAACGTTTTTCTACATTAATTGGAAGAAAATCAAAGGAATGTGGAACTTCAGCCAACTAGTTTTGTGCAGTCTTTGTGTATGGCTTTTACCAACAGGGTGCGTTTTTGGTGAAAGTAAGTTATTCTTTTCTGTTTCTAAATATGAATGTAACTATTGCTTTGGAATATCAGACCAATAGCTGACTTTATTTAGCAAAACAATTGATTGCTATGCACCAAAGGTACACAACACAAAACAATGCATAATACAACTTTAAACACATTACTCTGCGTGGATTTATGATTTATTTTTCAATGATCAGTCATAATTATTTAAATGTTGAACAACTAAGTTTTTGTAACGTCATGATATTTTATACTAAAACTTATTCCCCATAGTATCATCATTATAATTAATCATGCTATGTGTCAAGTTACAATGTCTATAGTTGAAAAGTTTCAATGTTGACATTTGCATAGTGTAATTTATGTTTTTTTCAACCAATTATATGAGAAAGGCTATATCGCATATTTGTTTAGCAAAATGGTGTATTTTAGTTAGTATAATGTGAGGGTATAAAGGCGCCAGTGTGTATCTAAATTTTTATTGTAGCATTTTTACATCTATCATCAAAATGTTATTGTATTAATATTGTGCAGAATTAGTGTTTATGTAAACTTCTAATATTTAAAGATATGTGCGGGAATAAGAAATTCGATCCTAATATTGAAATATGCTGCAACGGAAAGGCTCAAACAAAATCTGGGAATGAACCCTCTTGCTGTGGAACAATAGGATATGATGCAAAATTCCAAATATGCTGCTCGGGCGTTGTTAACATTCGTTTAGGTTCGAAACCGTCTTGCTGTGGAAAAGTGGCATATGATGCAAACGTCTGCAATTGCTGCAAGGAACGCATTCATTGTCTGGAACTGGATCCCAAGGCTTGCTGTGGAGATGAGGAATATTCTAAAAGCTCCCACATATGCTGCCTTGGTTTAGTTCAGTATCGGATAGGTAAGATTCCTAGTTGCTGTGGGAAACAAGTATATGATGCAAATGTCTGTAAGTGCTGTTCGGGAATAGTTCAGTGTCAAGATGGCCCAGACACCGTTTGTTAAGAAAAGAAAGCTATGATGAAATCGACTCCTTGTGCTGCCAGGGAGCTGTTTAGAATCGTTCAAGTTCGGATCCTTTATGCTCTGGAACAGACATATATAATTTAGGCGTCTCCATCTGCTGCAATGGAACTATTCACCATCGCCCAGTGCAACGGGATCTCCACGAACGCAGTTAATTTTTCTACTTTTCTTCTGATAATAAAATGGAAAAGTAAACATTATATTCTAATGAAGGTTGTTTCTAACACTGAAGATAGTATTTTACTGAACATCACAAATAATATAACAATACAAATATAATGAAAATATTTTGACACAATAAAGTAAAATTTAAAATGTCTGCATGAATGTAGCTGCAACGACAAACGTCACAATTATAAATATTGCATATTTGTGTAAATCAGATTGATTCGAATCACAACATGTTACGTAGAACTAAAGTAAATCTATAAATTAGAATCTATAAATAATATTAATACATGAAATAAACTTGAAGGAGTTTAAATGAATCTTAGAAATGGAGAAATAATTTAGAAATTTGACTGGAAAGTAAAACAAATCAAATATATTTATATCAATCTATGTGTCAACATTTCAACACCTTTAAAAAATATTTAATTTAATATTTTTGAACCATTGCTATCACGCATAGAGTATTAATTAGTCATGGTCGAGTCCGATATTCACTGGTCTAAGTTGCTTTGCAATGGAATGGAATCAAAAGGAAACGTCCTGACCAGAATGGAATGATTTGAAACAATGGATTGGAAAAGAATGTAGAAATGTTTCAGCATGAGCCTAATGTGATTCTGATTATGTTTTAAACATGACATTCGGTATTGAGAAAACTCAGTGTGAATTATCAGTTAATATATATGATTTAAATTCAAGCAATAAGTCTTATGGACTCCTAAACAAAGAACCACGAAAGTACGGGCTTGAGGTATCTTCGCAACGACAACTAATGTGGTCATTGACCTTGCGTCTAAAGCAGGTATCGCTAAGAACAGATTGGAATTTCTAATTTTATAGGATGTTCGAATTTTCAATGACATATTTTGGAAGTACTCAAATGAAATAATAATTTACCGAAGAAGCTGTTGAAACTTTGTGAGTCAAGAAATGAGCACAAGCTGTGCGAGCAGAAGTCTTAAAGTTTCTCTCTTTTGCACATCAATATAGGTTTGCCATCATAACGAATGTCATTAAACTCATCACCAAATATTAGCTGTCTGTAGTTCCCGTAGTGTGTATAAGCCATCTTGGATCCATTGATGAAAGAATTTCTTTATCTTCTTTGCAAATTTGGTACGATTTTGTCCAGTTGCATTTCTAGAATTCCTAAAACATTGTTGATATGTCTGATGTAGTCGCTCATATTCCTTAAAGGTACATTCCTTTACCACGTGATAATCAACACTATCGCGTGACAACAGTCATCTGCACACTCTTCACAACATGTACACTTTGTAATAATAAAATCAAATGCGTGTTTGGTAATATCATATACATGCTTATTTATTCCTTAGAGATGGTCTTAACCAAATATTTCTGGTTTTAACCAGACCTGAACGTGGGTGTAAAGGGCAGAAGAATATATGTCCTGCTAGTTTTAATTATCTTAATCTATCTTTAATTTCTCTTCCTTCATTTAATCGCTCGCTGACTCTCCCTATTCTCTCTAAACTTGTATTTCCATTTCTTATTTTTCACTTTGCATGAACCGTAGCTTTCTCTAAGAATTTAGTAATGATCCACCATCTGTCAGTTTCCATTCATTTTTTTATGCTGAAACGTTCATAACTTCATTTCCACCTTGATTTGTAGGTTTAATACCTTTAATACCAGACCAGATAGAGCCTTACTTTCAAACTACAAAGCATTGATAAAATTTATCCTTTTCCAGCAAATACTCAGTCAAAATATATTTAAGCTCTTGCTTTGTTAAACGTTCGTTTGCTGGAGAAAGGTTATAACTTTTGGCAAGATAGATCCAGGAAAATGTACTTTTTGACAGACTTCAAACAATCCTAAGCAATGCTTTAAACAACAGTTCTCTACATTAGGTTGTTTTATGAAATAACAACCTTTATCAGAGACAACAAAGTTCCTAGACAAAGCCAATTTAAATTTGAAAAACAAAGTTTAGCTCTCTGAACTGTCTTAATGAAATACCGGAAGAGCCCCAAAAATCTGTAACAGCGCTAGGTCTTAAAATGTGTAAGAGAAATACTTAATCTTATAAAGTCAGTATTCAATTTAGTTCTTTACGATATAAAGCGAAAATTCAAGAGACACTAAGAGTAATAAATCCCAAAGAACCCTTGTCCTAATAAAGTCGAAGAAATATAAAATATTCCATATGAATTTCAGTATTATTAAACGGAATGAGGTTACATAGTTTTTAAGTTCTCAATAATTCTCAAATAATGTAGTAATATTATGATAAGAAACATTTGGATTGGATTGGAGTCTCCGCCACAATATTATGATAAGTAATTCCTGGCGTTGTTGTTTTTAGACGTTTCTATCATAACCTTCTTCTAGTGTCTAGTTACGAGAAGGAAGAATGTTCGGCATTCTTAAGAATAAGGTGTCACATACGATGATGTAGATTATATATTTTGTGGGGGAAGCTTGGCTGCGAAGAGGTGGGATCGCTGTAAGAAATAGACATGACACTCATTTAGAGCATGGAATCGCACTTTATTGACATATATATATATATATATATATATATATATATATATATATATATATATATATAGATATATATCTGTATATATCTATATATATATATATATATATATATATATATATATATATATATATATATATATATATATATATATATATATATATATATATATATATATATATATGTATATATCTATATATATATATATATATATATATATATTCTAAAGATACAACATGTAAATTTATTTATGTTGAAAATACATAAAATACATATTACAATACTTATTAAATAGTTCTTCCACAATCTAGTATTTCATTTGTCCATTCATTTTTCTGTATTTTTGAATACAAGTGATTTAAATATTTATAAGAGCCTAAAATTCAATAACTGTAATAAATGTATTTTATTTTATTTATTGTAAGGTAAAGACCTGAAAAATCTCTGAATGTTATACTTGTTATTTAAAGAATATATATT